CACGGAAAGACGTGTTGTCACCATATTACTGCTACAGTGATTTCTTGATGAAAACACAAAGCATTAGTAAACGATAACTGCGAAACACTGTGGTGATGTTTTATAGCCTTAATAATAATAATTAATAATGGACCTAATTGGAATTCATGGCCTTCACAGATTTTCAGGTGACAGTTTGCTCCATAAGAGACTGTCAGGATAATCATTGAAGAATTTATGCATAAATGTAGGTGCAGTCTGCCCCCCCACCCCCACCCCACTTTTCCCATCAAAGCTGCCATGCGCATCCTCAGCGTGTACGTAGTAGTTGGATAGCTTTATGTTGACAAGGTGGGGAGGGGGTTATGAATATTTTTTACATTTCATTTTGTCTACCGAGTATGTTATATATGGATGTCCCATTGTCCAAATAGCCCTGGCGTACGAAGTGGGCTCCATAGTCGGATGTGCACATTGCGGTATTTTAATGTTACCATTAATGGAATCGGCGAGCCTTTTTGTTTTCGTTACCGTAGTTGAGCATGCACAATATATTACGATATGGCATCGACAAAATGAAAGGTACGCGAAACCGATGATGAAGGAGGAACTTCAACTGAACATCAGATTCAGCAAAAAGAAAGTTTATTCGCTGATATCCTATCTTGAATATCAGACAAAATTGACTGAGTTGCGTTCTTCAAATAAGGGTCCATCAGACGCAAACTGCACAGTCGGACTTTTCATTAGCAATCAATCATATAAAAGGAGTAGTGTGTGTTGATTTAAGAGATTGTGTGCATGGCGCCGGTCCAAGTTTTTAAATTTATATACTGAACACCGCCAAATTTTTGTAATGACAGTTCGGGTGTGTGTGTGTGCAGGGGGGGGGGGTGTCCTCGGCAGAAAGTATGTGCGTTTTTTTAAAAAAATTCTACAATATTCATCATGATTTTTGTAATGACAGTTCGGGTGTGTGTGTGTGCAGGGGGGGGGGGGTGTCCTCGGCAGAAAGTATGTGCGTTTTTTTAAAAAAATTCTACAATATTCATCCTGAAAGTCCAAAAATAACATATTTATATCTCGAATGCTGTAAAATACCAGCCAATGTGTAGTACGAATTATTGTCGTGATGTTGTCAAGGGGTATTTTCACAAATGAACTCCTAGCTATACTCAATTGTAGAAGAATTACAGTAGGGTGATGTTAAGTCAACCCAATGTTAAACGCGCGCATGACGTATATTTCGTTGGGCTACGTCAGTGGTTTTAAAATATTTGTTTGCCGGCGCCTATGCAATATTAGGTTTTCACCAGGCGCCTTGTGTGACATTCTAAGCAAGTGCACTTGGACATAGCGAATACCAAAATAAAATAAAGGGTGGGATAAAAATAAATATAACACGTATGTAGGTCACTGAGCGCCATCTGTAGCTGCAAACAGTAGATACTCAACTGGGTAACTGGACCAAAAGATGTCACATTGGATTAAAAGTAAAAATAAAATTATGAAATTTTTCTTGAATATTTCGCAACGCCCCTGTGAGGAAGCCGCAGCAGCCCATATTGAAAATGTGCACCCCTATTTAAAAGGACAATTTATTGCGCCCTTAATCTGTGTGTAAATAGTTTTTTATAGTTGAATTGACTGTTTAAGTGTTTTTCTATAGACGATTTTCACGCAGTTGCTCTTCGTTATATTCTCATGGCCCTGCCAAAGGGCAGCGAGCACCCAGGGCGATGTAGTCCGATGTAGCATATATTATGTGAACCACTGGGCTGGATGAATCACCAGTGGTGAAAACCCGTGTCACATTTTGTTTACTGTAACATAATATATAATGGACTTTGCTACTTTTTTATTGTAATTGAGGAAAGGGGGGGGGTCGTAAAAACGTCTGCGTGCAACGGAAAAGGGGGGGGGGTGGGGGTTTACATAATTAGTCTTTATTGCGTTACTGTAGTTTTATTTATTTACTCTAGAGATATTGCATTGTACGATTTTGAGACCAGATTGTACGATTTTAGGGGTTTGAGGGTAAACAGGTCTGCAATATTAATAATTTACATTCACCTCATAATTGATTTTCTAGCTATTTTTTCCCAGGCTGAATGTCCCAGATTGTCTGTACCATACTTAGCAAAAAATTTACATGAAAATTTAAACATTTTTTTTGTTAAAGTTGTACACGTCAAACCAATTCTATTTAAAAAATAATTTTTTTTTAATACTTTATTTTCCCTTCATGTTGGTAGAAAGAAATGGGGGACCTTGAAAAAAATAAACCTAAATATGAAAAGCATATGAAACTATTGGAAACAAAGACATCAGTTTGGTATTATTTCTTGAAAGCTGCGGACAATCTCTTGGCTAAATGCATTAGATATAACAAGATACTAAAACCATTGGGAGGCACAACTTCAGGCCTTCACACTCATTTAAAGTCTGCACATTCCACTGACTACTTGGACATATTTCTAAGGCAGATTGTGACCAGATGCATAAACATATTGTGGATATTCAAAAGCTTGGTCAGACAGCGGATTCCTTGGAAATATCAA